CGTTCCCCCCCCCCCCCCCCAGCCAAAGAAGCAGCGAACAGAGGCGATCACCTTCACCGACAAGGATCTGCCTCCGGGTACGGAATCACACAGGGACGCCCTCGTCATCCGGTGTGAGATCGGCGACTCCATCATCCACCGCACTTACATCGATATGGGGAGCTCCGTCAACGTGATGTACCTGGACACCTTCAAGCAGCTGAAGCTGGACAACGCTCTGCTGAAGCCGATCAAGACACCGTTGTCCGGCTTCACCGGGGACTCTATCGACGCCGAGGGCACGATAGTCCTTCCCGTGGTGGTCAACCTCCAGTGCGCCCACAACCTGGTCTTGGGGCAGCCAACACTGGAGGACTTGGAGGCCATCATCTCCATGAAACACTTGTGCCTGAAGTTCCCCACCAACGGCGGCATCGGCTACACCAGAGGAAATCAGAGGATAGCCAGAGCATGCTACCTCAAGCTAACGAGGCCGGCTGAGCAGGAAGGACAGAGGATAGACACCATCACAACAACAGCTGCCAAAGACGAGGAAAGACCGCATGCCGAACCGGCCAAAGAGGTCGAGGAGGTCCCCCTAGATACCTCCCGGCCGGAGCGGGTCCTCGGAATCGAGAAGCAACTCCCACAGGACCAGCGGGATGCCATCATCCTCGTCCTACGGTCATACGCCGTCGTCTTCGCGTGGGGCCCGGACGACATGCCAGGCATCAGCCGGCAGGTGATCACCCATCAGCTGATCGTTGATCCAGCCTCCGCGCCCGTCAAGCAGAAGTGGCGCTACTTATCCACAGACAGGCGGGACTTCGTCAAAGGGGAGGTCACCATGCTCCTCTCAATCAACCACATCAAAGAGGTGAAGTACCCGACGTGGCTAGCCAACGTCGTCCTCGCCCAAAAGCCGCTGACATTCAGAATGTGTGTTGATTACACTGACCTGAACAAGGTGTGTCCCATGGACCCGTTCCCTCTCCCCAATATCAACCAATTGGTGGACGAGACGGCGGGATGCGAGTTGATGTCGTTCCTCGACGCCTTCAGAGGGTACCACCAGATTTTCATGAATGAAGATGATGCTGAGAAGACGGCCTTCATGACCCCGGAGGGAATCTTTTGCTACCTCGTCATGGCCTTCGGGCTCAAGAACTCCGGCGCCACCTATACCAGGATGGTGGCCAAGATCTTCAGAACAGTCCTCGGCCGGACGATGGAGGCATACGTCGATGACATGATCGTCAAGAGCAAGCGAGCCACCACACATGCTGACGACCTCCAGGAAATTTTTGAAATCATGAAGGAGTTCAAGCTCCGCCTCAATCCCAAGAAGTGAGCCTTTGGCGTCCAAGGCGGTAAATTCCTCGGCTACATGGTCAGCCGGAGAGGCATTGAAATAAACCCGGAGAAGATACAGGTTATCATCAACATGGAGCCGCCCCGCAACGTCAAGGAGGTACAGCGGCTGACGGGGCGCCTGGCGGCCCTGAGCCGCTTCCTCTCCAAGTCAGCCGAGAGGTCACTCCCTTTCTTCCAAATCATGCGCAAAACAAACAGCTTCAAGTGGACGACGGAGTGCCAGGAAGCATTCGAAGAGCTGAAGAGGTACCTATCGTCCCCACCAGTGCTCTCCAAGCCCAAAACTGGCAAAACCCTCTTCTTGTACGTAGGGGTGAGCACGTCGGCCATCAGCTCCGTGCTCATCCGTGAGGATGAAGGGGTGCAGAAGGCCATATTCTACATCAGCAAGACACTTAGGGAGGCCGAGCTCAGGTACTCCCCCATTGAGAAGACGGTGCTAGCCATCGTCCATGCGGTGAAAAAGCTGGGGCACTACTTCCAGGCCCATGTCATCCACGTACTGACCCAACAGCCCCTTGGCGCACTCATGAGGAGCCCCACTAGCTCTTCAAGGATGGTAAAATGGGCGATCTTCCTCAGCCAATTTCAGATTGAGATCAAGCCAAGGCCATCTATCAAAGGGCAAACCTTGGCCGACTTCATCACCGAATGCACGACAAGGGAGACAACCGCTACCACCCCGGTCCAGAGCCAGATGACGTATGGATCCTCTTCACCAACGGCTCATCGGCCACGAAATCATGCGGGGGCATCGTCGTCCTCATATCCCCTGAAGGATTCAGAGCCTACTACGCCATCCGCTTCAACTTCAGGGTATCTAACAATGAAGTCGAGCACGAGGCCCTCCTCAGCGGCCTCAGACTCGCCGCCGGCCTCAGAACCCGGCACATCAAAATTAGGTGTGACTCCAAGCTGGTAGTGGGCCAGGTTGAGGGTACGTACGAAGCAAAGGAAGGCCGGATGAAGCAATACAAACAGGCGGCAGAGGAGTTGCTAAAGGCGTTCGAAACCTACGAGATCACACAGATCCCAAGGGCCGAGAACGCCGAGGCTGACATCCTCTCCAAGCTCAGCTCGGATACTCCGGAGCACATCTCCAAGCTAGCCAAGATCGAGGAGCTGAGCATGTCCAGCATCCATGCCAGCCCCATCTTGTGCATCCAACAGCGGCCGGAGGACTGGATCTCCGACATCGCCACTTTCATCATGACAGGGGAGCTACCCCAGGACGAGGAGAGGGCCAACCTCGCCAAGCTCAGGGCCCCAAGCTACACTATTGAAAACGGCAAACTCTACAAACGATCCTACAATGGCACTCTCCTCCGATGCCTGCACCAAGACGAGGCCGATGTGGCCATGGGAAAGTTCACTGTGGTGTTTGCTCCTCACACTAGGGCCCTTTCAGTATGTCCCGGCATCTCGTCGTCCAGGGCTTTTTCTGGCCGAAGATGGCGCGGGATTGTGCAGACCTGTCCAGGAAATGTACCACGTGCCAAGTGCTCCAGAAGGCCCCTGGTCGGCCATCCGTCAACTACGCCCCCGTCAGCACTGCCATTCCATTTTCGAGATGGGGGATTGACCTGGTCGGCCCTCTACCCAGAGCTGCTGGCAACAACCGCTACATCATCATCGCAGTCGACTACTTCACCAAGTGGGTCGAAGCGGAACCTTTGGCCAGCATCACGGGGGCCAGGTGTCAGAAGTTCGTCCACAAGAACATCCTCACCCGCTTCGGTGTCCCCCAAGAGATCATATCCGACAACGGCACCCAGTTCGAAGCGGCGCCCTTTCAGGAGCTCCTTCGAGAGTGGGGAATAAAGCACCGTTTCTCCTCCGTTGCCTACCCTCAAGGCAACGGGCAGGTTGAGAACGCCAACAGAACTATAATGGAGGGGTTGAAGAAGAACCTACAGGACGCATGAGGGAGTTGGGTCGACGAGCTCCCCAACATCCTGTGGTGCTATCGTACTACGCCGAGGAGGGCAACGGGTGAAACACCTTTTGCCCTGTGCTATGGCTTTCGAGCAAAGGCACCTACGGAGGTCACCATTCCTAGCCGAAGGGTGGAGCAGTACAACCCTCAAATCAACGAGGAGAACATGAAGATCGACCTCCACCTGGTTGACGAAAGACGTGAGCAAGCATTCATCCTAGCAGAAAACTACCGACGTCAAGTAAAATCATACTATGACACCAAGGTACGTTCCCGGGAATTCCAAGTGGGGGACTACGTCCTCTGCCGAAGGGAAGCAAGTCAGCCGACGGAAGGGGGCAAGCTAGCCTTGAAATATGAAGGTCCCTACATCGTCAGTGCCGTGGTGAAACCCGGAACCTACAATCTTAAACGCCCAAACGAGACCAATGTACCACGAACGTGGAATGTACACCATTTGGTGAAGTTTTATCAATAATCCGAAGGAAATGCAGCCGGCAGAGCCCTCACCCCTTGACGGGTTATTGATTTAACATCACCCTCGGCCTCGAGCCACTTATGAATGAAAATCATGTTTCCTTTGATTTCTTGGAATTTGAGTAGCACATTAACGGGCGCCCTCATCGGCCACCTTAGAGCGAAAGGCTCAGGCATGGCCTATGTGGCGCTTCGCATACGCAACCTTAGAGCGAAAAGCTCAGGTGTGCCCCATTGTATTTTGTATCAGCGAAAGGGTGGTAACCTTCATCGGCCATAACCAACTAAAGTTCCAACACTTGGCATAAAAGCCAAGAACCCTGGCTTGACACAACACAATCCTAGAGTGGAACACCGGAAAGGAGGTCTAGGACGAAACGGGCACTAAAAGACCCGCAGGAAAATTGAAAACACTGGTGGCAACCCCTACCGGCCACAACATTCTTGCTGGCCGTTAAAGGCGGTAAAACCTAGGCGGTTGCTTAAGCTGAAAATCTTTGAAGAAAGTTGTCTAAGTGATTTCCAAACACTTAGAAAATTTCTGAAAAAAGTTGCCTAAGTGAACTTCAAACACTTAGAGATTTTTTTAGGGAGGCAAACACGAAGGGAAAGGCAAACACCTGGGAACCCTCATTGGCCACACCGCCCAACTTGGCCGACAACGGTACTACGTAGAAGAAAACTACATGGCTCAACACTTAGAGAAATCTCCAAAGTATTGAATAACGAAGGGACAGCCTTGAGATGAAGCGGGCACTCAAATACCTGCAGGTGCCCGCCTCGGCCCCAGCAAAAGGCGGTAGTGACAAGCAGTCCATGCAATTCAAAGGTCAAGTCCCATGGGGGAGCATTTCGGCCATCACACTCAGACGACAAAGGTCAGGTACCCTTATCGGCCACGATTACAGAAATCAGATACGACTCCCTGTTTAGACTACCGAAAAAGACACCGGGCCGATGGGATCACCACGTGTGGTATTGATTCAACACTTAGGATATTTTCCAAAGTTTCGGGCAAGAGTGAAAGGGGGGCGTAATACCAAGACGACGCCAACACCCACTCATTTGAAGCCTTGGTACTTAGAAAATTTTCTAAGTCCCAATTCCAACACGTGAACAAAATTCTGAAAAAAACTTGAAAACAGGAGTAAAGGAAGAAAGACGATGAAAAGACATGACAAGGCCGCAAAAACATACTTCATTAATAATAAATTGTTACACGAGGAGGGCTCAACGACCATTACAAAAGGGGCGTTAAAACAGCCTAACTAAATTACAAAAAGATTATGCAGCCGATCAACTCTCGGGAACGGTCTCATCGGCCACCCGCTCCGCTTCGACCTCCTCCGTCCTGGCACCCTCACCGGCCTCACCTGCTGAGGAGACGACAGTATCGGTCATAGCATCATCATCGGAATAGATGGGCGAACCAATAGAAGAGCTGAGCACTGGATCGTGCCTCTCGGATGAGGGGAGTTTCGCTTCGGCCTCAGGATCCTTCATCAGCCGGGGAAGCTTCAGGTTCTTCTTAGCCCACTTCTTGGTGAACTTCAGCTTCTTGAACGCCCGGTGCAGCCTCCGGTATAGTAGCCGTTGCATCCTCTGCTGACCCATATCATAGTAGACGGCCATCTCTCGAGCAAAGTATGCTTGGCCAGCAGGGCAGTTCTGGCCCCAATCTTTGAGCCGGTCCGCCACGACTTCCTAGCACCAGGGCCGGTGGTCATCGTCCTTCCAGCCATCGGTCAGGAACCTCTCGATGGCGCCATCAACGGCCTTCTCAGTGGCCCTCTCAGAATCAGCCTGAGCCCTGGCGGCGTCTTCGGCCCGAAGCAGGGCCTCATCACGGCTTCGAAGGGCTTCATCCCTAGCCCTCAGAGCGTCATCCCGGTCAGCCGCTACCTGCCGGTAGGCCACATCGGCCTCATCAACACCCTTCTGGAGGGCCTTCACTTCCTCCCGAAGCCGGTCCAGGCAGGCCATGGCCTCCTCAGCCGAAGCGGCTTTCTTCTCGGCTTCCCTCAACCGGGCAATCTCCTGCTCCTGCCTTTTGTGGCTCTCCATCAGCATGAGAGCACCCTGCAACAAAACAAAAAGGAGAAATGAACAAATTAGGACGATGCAAAACCCATGACACAAAAGACGTAAAATATGGGGAACTTACTTGGACGATGAGGTCCATGCCGCCATCGTAAATCCTGACGGCACCCAGCTTCTTCAGATAAGCCCGATCCTCGACCGGGACAGCCTGGGCCAGGACTTCATGGCCGTCAACGGCGTCATTGAAGATGCCACCCTTCACGGGATACTCAATCTCGAGCTTGTAAGTCCCGCCGGCTAGCTCCTTTTCGGCCCTTTGCTTCCGGGGCTCTTGGCCGGTAGGCGGCGACTGAGATAGGATCGCCGAGGAAGGAACCGAAACCACGTCCACAACGTCAACGACACTAGAGCCCCCGTCATCGTCATCCGGTATGGCCACACACCCGGCACCAGCATCGGTGAGAGGGGAAGCCCTCTTCGACTTCTTTGATTGCATGCCGGCCTCAGTAAGCTTTTTCTGGTCGTCATCAGCAGGCCGCTTCTTCTTCGGCTGGGTTGGCGGCTTCTTCGCCGCATCAGCATTTGATGGAACGCCGCTCGCAGCAGCCACCTTCGCGGGCTCCTTTGCGGCCATTTCCTCTTTCGCCTTAGCTTTTGCTAGGGCCATGACGGATCTGCGATCCATAGCAAAGTCTGCACAACAAGGAAAACAAACAGTTAGCAAAACATAAAAGAAAACATAGTCGAAGACGTCAGGGAAGGTATTACCATCGACATTAGCAGGAATGCCCATATCTGGGCCGTCGGCCTCCTCAAAGGTGGTGGTCATCTTCGGACATAACTCGAGATCACCTTCCTTGTCACCATAAACATGAAGCCGAGGGCGGTCATTTTGTATTCCGTGATGTAATGTTTCACGCTCCTCGGCCCACCCTTCAGAAACGCCGCCACCTAGGCATCCAGAATACTGCTCTTCGGCACGTCATGCAGGGTGAATTTACCGTCGTGACCAACCGATGGAAACTCCGTACCGTCCTCACCCAAGGACACGAAGACGAACTTGCTCTTCCATCCGTGAATAGACGAAGGGAGATCGGTGAAACTCCTTTTCTTCGGCAGCTGCTGGAGATTGGCGTAGCCAACACAGTTTTTATGGCTTCCTCGGCCAACCTGGTACAGGTTCATAAACAGTGCTGTTGTCGGCCTAAAACCTAGCTCATCGCAGCGGAGAAGAAAGCCGACGATGAGCGAATAGCTGTTGGGAGTCAGCAAGGCCAGAGGGAGACCCACCGTATCCAAATACTCTGTGATGAAGGGGTGAAGGGGAAACCTAAGTCCCTTTGCGAAGCTCATGGGGTATACTCCATAATACCCCGGAGGTGGATTCAACACGTGATCCATCGGCTTGGGCGCCCTAACCCGCCCATACGGCCCCACGTACATCTGGGCCACCAGGTAGTCGGCCGCACTACTCTCCAGCTTAATCAGATAAAGATTGCTGAGATCCAGGTAAGAGAAACCTGGACCCCTATTCGGCCGCCGCCTTCTTATCGGAGCAGCTCCCTTCACAGCAGAAACCGGCTTCAGGCAGGGGATCGCAGCTGATGTAGACGCTCCGTCCACAGCACGTGAAGCCCCTACTTCTTCACCATCAGACGACGAGGCGGCCTCTTCGTCTTCACCTTCCCCCTCCCCTGACTTGAAGGAGATCAACTCCTCTATCTCCTCACAACACTCCTCCACCACCCGGTAATCAAGGGACCTAGCGGAGGGTTCATCGTCGTATGGGTAGTACTCATCGTCTAAAGGCTTCATTATAACAGTCAACTAGAGCCTAGATGTTCCTACTTTGGATCTAACAGTCTATCTCCAATAACAAGGGATCAATGGCCTAGGAAGAGAAATAGGCAAATTACAGAGGGAAGTTTCGATGAACTAACATTTGAAGTTTGGATGAACACGAAGAACACTTGCAAGAACTTTATCTCTCTAGAAAATTCAGCAGCACTTCGTTATCTCAGGAACGCAATGGGAAAACCTCCTCGGAGAGGGGGGGGGGGTATTTATAGACCTTCCCCCCAACGGTCACTACACGTGGCAACCTCCCATTGGCCACATGAACGGCCACCACCCTCAAGGCCCATTGGGTTGGGCACCGGTTCAGAAGTCGGGTCAGGCCCACTTCCACAACACCAGCTCACCGCTAATAAGCCAACCACTCAACGGCCACACTAGTAGAGCATGCCCGCATCGGCCTCAACACAGAGATACTTCAAATGGATCACATCCCAAGGCACGTCCACACCGGCTTGAACAGAATGCTTATCGCATGGCTTTCTCAACGGCCACGACGGTGAAACCACCAAGAAAACCCCACGCCATCGGCCCTGTATAAAACCCTGATGATAATTTCTTGAAAGCGACCTGCGCCCAAGGGTTCTCCCACAGGGTTACCTTGACCAAGAAATCGCCAAGAAATTGGATTCAGGGGTACACGAGAGTCCGCTTCGGCCTGGGTACATCCTTTACTCCTTCACCCCTCACCTACTCTTCGGCCTGAAGCAGTGGGGGACTGGGGGACTACATCGGCCTTTGCAAATCAGGACAAAATCAAATATATCCAAAAATATACTAAGTCCACAACCACAACATTAGACATGCACCACAACGTCCATAGCATTGTGGTGCACCATCGGCCGCAGCAAAGCTAGCAAACAAAGAATTCCCTCCCAGATCAGCGCCGTCATCGTCCTCAAGCGTGAACACCAGACTACGGATAACACCGCTTCGGCCAAAAACCACACAGCACTTTCACCGGCTACCCGGGAACAAAAGAACACTCATCATCCTCGAACAGGAGACAACCACAAGGGCCTCCTCGGCCCCAAAGAGCGAAGGGCAGCCACCAACTGTCACGAGTGGGCATGACCATTCACCGGCCATTCGTGACAAATGGCGCTCATCGTCCAACCAAAAGGCAGCCCCAATGGCCTCTTCGGCCAACAGTACGAACTTTAACCAACGGTCAAAAGGAGTGAACAGCACCCTTAACGGACACTCAAGATGAGGGAGGCACGTCGTCTTCAAGCAAAAACGCAACCGCAGTGGCCTCCTCGACCCAAAAAACAAAATCCACCCACCGAAGGTCGTGAGAAGGAAAGAATGTCTTCATCAGCCCCCATGACCGGAACGCTCATCGTCCACATCAAGGGGAAGGTAACGGCCAAACTCAGAACAGGGCCACCAAACGCCATGACAGGGAACGGGCAACGTGGTCCCACATCGGCCAAGAGCATCAAGCACAAAAATCTACTCTCCTTCACTTCGTCTGCACCTCAGCTTAGAGAGTGGGGGACTCCTGATGGAGTATATGGGTCCAGGCTCCAGGACCACATACTCAGAAGAACAGAAAGCACAAGCCACTGCACAGTGCCCTCGTCGGCCACAGACCCATCGTCGGCCGAAGAGGGACCAACTCAGAATATGATCCCGAAGCTAGGGAACCAGGGTGTCCTCGTCGGCCGTACCCTCATCGGCCGTGCCCTCGTCGGCCAGACCCTCGTCGGCCACGGAAGTCTCGCAGAACTAGGCTTTACACTTATTCATTTATATATCCCATCATTTACTTTGTATTCGGCCCAATAGCGGTCCAGTTGTAAATGGGCCTCCCAAGCCCAAGGCTTGGGAGCCCAGCTCGTATTTTTCCTATAAATACTTCCTCTGGAGGTAGTTATAGGGGTTACAAAATCATTCTATTGAAGCATTTACTTGCACTTCTCTCTCTAGCTCTCACTTCTCTCTAGATATATACTCTATCATTTATTATCCCACCACTTTCCTCCTTAAATAATGTGGCAAACCTAATGTAGTAATCTTCCAAATAGAGGAAGTATTAACTTTTGAAGTTTAATTATGAACTCTTAAAATTGTAATATGCTGATTTTGATTTCCAAGTTGAAAATACTTGTACTGTGTACACCATAAAAAAGTCGGAAAGACGTGTACATTAAAAATAAAGATAGAAGAACCTTTTTTACTATCCCTCCTTAATTTCCAGCTATTACAGAGAAGGAAAAATAATTTATGGTATGAGCAAAAGACAATCAAATGGGGTTCAAAAATACATGCGCAACTTTGAAGCATTGTGCAACCTTAAAGTTACCATTTTGGTTGTGACCCTTCCATTTCACAACCAAAAGTCATATATTATATTGTAAACACTATAAATAGGAAAATGACATTTTTACGTACTTTGGAGCAGACACGACATCTTGAATTGGGTTGTATACTCTCTCATATACAATTATTGGATACAAAATTAGGTCACTACGAATCTTATTGTGAAAAAGACATCAGAAAATCTGTAAGTTGTTCGGATAAATATTATACTAATGTATGTCACAAACATGGTTGGCGTGCCCAAACGTTGATTTGCGCATCTTAATGGCCTGAAGGAAGGCAAGTGACAAAATGTAGATTATATATGAGCATACAACTTGTAGATTAAAGACTTTAAAGTAGCTTCAGTGTTTCATCAACATGGTTCTCCGGTTGGAAATGTAGATGAGTTTAACAACTTCATTTTTGTCAAGCATGTACGTCTGTCTTCCAATGCACCAGAAAAATCTCTAGGGACTCCCCACTCTTTTCTAACCCTGCCCCCTTCATCGCTTAGCAATGTAAATGAAAGCCCAAAACGAAAGAGGAAGAGGGGGAAAATTACAACCTTGTATGATGTATCAATATTACTAATCCTCTAATTCCAACAACTTCAGCTCCGCCTTTCTTGAGTTTCTCATATGAATCCCTGAAAGCACACACTTGTTACCAACATAATTTATAGAACATATGTTTTCTATGCGGGAATAGAAAATGACCCACTATTCTTATACAAAAGCACTCAACGAAAGTCAAAATAAGCATTCTATTATTCACAATGATCTCTCTATTCTAATAGAAAATCAGATTACCGATTTAAAGAGGTATTTTATTCGACCTCGTTGTTATTTTAGTACTTAGAGTTAGACCTATCCTTGTTTCATAGGGAATATCTTTTGAGCGTATATAGTTTGGTGTTGAAAAGGGTTGAATGCATACGGCTCTTAACCCTCATACCTGAACTCCATATGCTTAATAAAACACCATCCTCACTTCCTATATGAAAATGAGTTGATACTTTTTCAGGCACATGAGAAAATAACCACTATACTAAAAGAAAAAAGTCAAAAAAACTACCATACAACTAATTGATTAAGAATGTAAAGAATTAGATTATGAAGCTAAACTTATTAGTAATTGATTACATATTAAAATAAAGAAAACAGAATAAAGAATCAAGATCATAATCTCTACTCTTGTTTCGTGTTATATCGCTGGCTGATTGAAGTAAACGGTGATTAAGAAAAAGAAAGCATTGTGTCATGAGCATCACCGGTCAGTTTAACGGTATAAGGAATACAAATTCATAAAGAAATCTATAAGAAATCTATAAAGTGTGGAGACTCATAGCATAGCATGTAATATCATTTGGTCTTGTAATTCTTCTATCATGAAATCTATCCACTTTCGTATTTCTCCATTTCCCATGACTCTACTACTTTCTTAACTCCCAAATCCCACCTTACCGGTGGATGGCAGTATTTCAAGAACCGCAGCTGTAACTGATGGGTGGGAGACGTATAGAGTTCTATAAC